AACCTTAAACTGGTATAACGGCCTTCCAGGGACTGTGAAAGCAGTTAATGGCCTTGATTCCTCAGCGAGCTCAATTTGCCAATACGCATCTTTTAGATCGAGCTTGGTTATGATATTTGCTTTAGGCAAGCGAGCAAAAATACCATCAATACTTGGCAAAGGATACGCGTCCTTACGGGTGACTTCATTGAGTCGGCGCGCATCGAGACACAGACGGACTTTGTTGGGCTTGAGAACTAATCTCATTGGCGAACTCCAAGCACTAGAGGATGACTCAATCACGCCTAGTTGGAGCATGCGATCTACCTCGGCGTAAAGCAACTTTTCCACAGCTGGGCTGACTGGATAAAAGCGTTGTTTTACCGGGATGGCATGGCCAACCTCGATATGATGCTTAAGCAACGCCGTACGTCCTAATCCATGAGATGCATTGGGAAATAATTGCTTAACAACCTCGAGTTGTTGTTTTTGCTGTCCAGTTAGAGGATAACATACGGGATCTGGTTCGAGTTCTTCATCGTCCTTCGAACTTAGCTCGACCGAAGCAATTATATCTGGTGCGAGCGCAAAAGATCTCCAAAAATCGTGACCGAGAATCAGATTTTGCTTCAAGGATGGAATAATGTATAACGACATCGGTTTCTCGCTCGAGCGATACCGCATGTTGACCTTCAACACCCCCAGTATCTTCTGACTTTGGCCATCTGCCGTTTTTGCAGAGGCTTTAATTGGTTTATACTCTGTCAAAGAGGAAAAATCTGTCAGAGCCAACGCCGAACCTATGCAGCTAATACTTGCCCCAGTGTCTAAAAGACCCTGTTCAGTTTTACCTAAGAAGGATACTTCGGCATAACTGCGCATATCCGTGGGATTGCTAATGATAGCGGAAACTAAAAGTCTACGGTTAGTTCTAACATTATCATAATATTTCCTTAAGCGTAAGATTCGTTTAGGGACTTCATGTTCTTCTTCATTGAAGATTCTTTTCCTTATCTCTAAATAGTTATTAAGCCGTTCGGGATATGGCAAAAATCTACAGCTAGTATTTCCTACCAACGCCTTCTCTCTTCTTTTATGAGAACAAAAAGCTACATTCTTCCGATTGTTAACTCCAACAACAGGCAGAGTTAATTTTGGTTTTTCGGGGGCATCCGATGGTGGTGGGATGCACCCTTCTGACGGTTTTCCGAAGCTCTACGAATGCAGGTTTGGCACTGCGGCTTATACACATTCGGGGCTCCACAGCCGTAACAAAAAATACGCCTATCTGCAAGACAATTTTCCCACACATGTCCAAGTTCCTCACAATTCCAACAAGTACGCTTAGCAGTCGAACTTTGAATGGCCTCTATGCTAAGATCCTCGTCCTCTTCCGGATCACTTTCTGGGCGGGATTCCTCCAGACTATAAATGGGACGACGAGATGCTATCGGTCTAGTCTTCTCTGCTTTCTGCAACTCTTGCACTAAATTTTCATGCATCTGGACTAATCTTCGCAACTGACCGACTGAGCTAATGGTCTGATACAAGATTTTATGACGATTTTCCGGAAGCAAATTCGCTTTTAATATTTCTATTAATTCCTCTTCATCCATTTTAATGCCAAACTTGTCTATTAGACCAGCCACCGCGTCATGAAAAGCAACGAAGGGCTCGCCAACTTTTTGCTTGCGAGATCGAATCAATTCCTTGCTCATAAACTCGGAACGGTAGTCCTTATATTGCTGTCTAAGAGCTGCACAAAATTCTGACCAAACTATGCGATCAACCTGCTTGTGGTATCTCCAATACCAATCGCGCGCTTTGCCGACTAACAAGATGTGCAAATGTTTACAAAGGCCTAAAAAGTCACTCTCCAAAGTTTCATCTGTCAAAACCTTGACTCGGTAAATAAACTCCTCTACCCCTAAGCCTTCCACAGAACCATCAAACGGGACATTCCATTTTTGCATAATGTCCGCCGTCTTTGCCTTTCGCATGCTAGAACTGCTGGCGGTGTATGACACAGGTGTGGGGACATTTGATCTATACGAGTACCCTTCTTGAGGACTAGCTTGAGACTGGACATGTAAATTGGACATGGCTTTGGCAACAGTGCTCTCGATCATCTGTTGCAGGGTATCCAAGTCAAAACCCTGGCTTTGAGGAGCCGATAGCACATTGTAAGCTGGCCCATGACTAGCGTGGGCAGCGACACTTGCCGACGGAGCCTCAGTCTGATTGGAACTATGACTAGCATCCAACCCTGATAAACACACTACTTCAGGACCTGAAGATCGATTTTGAGGGATCTTTGGGACCTGCTTTTTAACTGGTGGCCGAGTTCTTTTTGAACGGGTTGGCCTTGTGGTCCGTTCGACCGGGGCTGATTCTGCAGGCGGGATTTGGCTCAATTGTGGATTGTGGCCGTTTCCCTCTGCTACCGTTCCCGTCTCTGGCTGACGATTTCCCTTCCCTGGAGTCTGCACTAGCTCCAAAGCTTTGGCAAGACTTCGAGTGGCCATTCCAGAGGGACCTGGTAATTCCGTTTGTTCTGGCGGCCTCTTGTTCGGTGAACAATTGCCAACGACTAATTTGGCTTGCGATAACGTCCATGATCTACTACAGTTTGGACAACCCTCGTGATGAGGGCACCATGCTTCCAAACAAGCTTTATGAAATACGTGATTTCAAGGGGTACAAAAACACGGCTGAGTATTGGACATTTCGGAGCAACAAATGCCACAAATGTTTTCTGAACCCAGCGTGTTTCTCTGAGGGCTATGTCTTAAAGGCATATTTCAAATTTTAATTTTTTTGTTTGTTTTGTTTTTCTAACAAAGTTTTCCTAGGGTGACATTTAATTGGTGACATAATAAGATCGGGCTACAATTTGTGCATCTTTGGAACGAAGACAAAAAAAATTTTTTTAATTGGGCTATTGTTACTATTTTGAATTGATCTGGGATTACTGCCCTGGTTTAGGCTTCTACACATGATTCGGCGAGTGTACGCAAAACAGCATAAACGCTAGTTCCAGACAACCATATGCAAACGCTTCTGCCGTTGCAACAATATCGAACCAACTCACTGGTATGAGTGTAGACCAAAGCTGGAACCGTAATCTCTGGGCTTAAATACCCCGTACAGGGACAATCAGTACTGATATCCGGTCTAAACCAAATATGCAATATTCTGCAATTGTATGTAACCGTATGTTCCCCACAAAGAGTTACAATACCATTCCGGAATAAAACTCAAAAGACAATCTATTGAAACTAAACTCATCTAAATTAACTGATTCTTGACAACCGCGACCTTGACTAATCTTCCTTGTTCGGTAAGGATACGCAAGCAGCATATTCACAAATTCCAGACAACACTATCGACTAGCCAGAACAGAGGCGACAACAAGCAAGCAATACAATCAATTTAGGATAATCACTTAAGCGTTATTTCGTCTTAGCCTCGACGACTTCCACTAAAAATCATGTAATGTACCAAACCCCTCTATGCATATAGCACAGTGCAGACCGTAGCGTGAGGCCGGTCTTAACGTTGGACGTTCCCTGAGTATCCTGTTGGCAGTGAAGAAGGTCGATGGGACACAACTAGCAAAACAGCCTGTGGGGGGGTTCTTGACCCATTCCATCTCCAACCTCAGAGTACACATTTAATAATGTCCCTTGCCTTAATGTTTACTTTCATCGATCAACGCAATGCAAAGTGCAACGCGACTCACAACGAATGAAAAATGATTAACTTTGAACCAGACTCTACTCTCTTCAATTTCTCACTAATACACCCATTCCACTGAGATGTGTGGACCGTGAGTCTGCTTGATGGTATGCAGTAACGCGTCTCAACCCTCCCGACCATTGAGCTTTTCTGCGCGCAATAAATATTTGAAAAAACTCCCAAAAACGATATCTCTTCTCTCTCTTCTTCTTCACATTACTTCAAGGAAATATTAATTATTTTATTTACTCCATAATTTTTACACAAAACTTAATACTTGAAACCATTACCTTTAATCTTCATAACTCATTTAATAAGCCAACACCACTTAAATACTTCATAATAATATTCTTTTGCTTTCATAACTAGACTTTTATACCCTATTTTCATTATTATTGCTCAAACAATTCCTTTGATAAATTCTATTCTTACTAATTTTTAATCTCGTTGCTTTTGCTCATATTCACTTTCACATATACAACCGCTGAAAAGAAGTTTTAATTAAATAATAACATAATATATAAAAACTAATAAGAATATAGAAAAATCAATTCAATGCAAATATATCATAAGGGGTTAAGGTTTTCTTGTATCAAAGTGAAACCAATAAAACGAGGAAAGTCAGCAAACGCAAAATCAAAACAAACACGCAAAAAATCGGTGCAGGTGCTTTGCGGATTGCATCGTTATCTCTGTTAACTCTCTTTCTTCACCTCTTCTTTCGATCGCACACTCTATCTCACAGAGACGGGTATGTCGGTTTCCACGCTTTCTTTTACATGGTTAATTTCTTTTGGTTTTTATTGGTTGTTTTTATTCGGTCTGTTGGACTCACCCAGATTTATCGTAGAAGGCCTTCTAGAAGATCGGTTTGATTTTTTTTTATTGATTTTAGGTAATTAGTTTGGGGTGATAGAGCATTACAAGTCTCGCTTCACTGGGTTATTTTCACTCTGCCTTTTCACTCACTTTGCATGTCTTAGTTACTTTACACTTTATTCTTTTGTCCGGTTGTACATGTGTTGGTGATCTTGAACGTGCCTATTCGTTTACATGTCTTCTTTTTGATGTAATTGCGAATTTCTTTTACTCAACCCTAAATTTTCACTAATTCACTAATTGCTGCTGCTTCGCCTTCTTCTGCTTGTCTCCGGTATTCCGTTTTCCAAACGTTCTGCTCCGGTCGTTAACCCTGCTCTCCCGCTAATGTCAATCGAACAAACTCAGACTGCGCATATGTAACGTTGCTGCGGCTGCTGGTCTGCCAAAGAAAGTTACGTCGGGGAGCTCGGCCCTTTCCACGGGTTCTTCTGCCCCTGACTTGACCCTGATCTGGTCTATGAGGAGAGGTTAGGTCAGAAAATTGTCTTGGACTATAAAAACCCCTTATTTCTCACCTTTTTCTTTATTTTCCTTCGCTATGTTTTTGTTGGGCACAGCAATGTTTTAAAAGCGCCTGCTTTGAACCAAAATCTGTTCTGGAATACAGTCTTATAAATTCCATGTGACTCCCTACAATCTTCCACGAAATATTTACCTGGCCGAACTATAGACCACTTTCAAAACAATTCTTTTCGAAGATTTATTTAAAATTCCCACGGATGCCTTAAATATTTCGAGATTGCTCTTTGAATATTTAGGACTTATACTATTAGCCTGGGTTAAGCGCGTAATTTAATTTCGATACGAAAAATTAGGTCTGGTCAGTTACGCTGGTACGATCAAATAGGAAGAGGAAATTCGCTGAGCTCGACAAGAACCTATTCTCGCTCCACTCAAAACGATCGAGTTTACGAGCTTTCTTCCCAGCTGACTGTGTTGTGAAACTCGCGAGTGTATCTCCTAACGTAATGAGCTTAAATTTCCCGCCAAATCGATAACAATTTATACGAATTCTACGAAAAATTAAAAACCAAATTTTTCTCTTTTTTTTTTGAGAACCATGCACAGCACAATCAGAGGGACAATCAGTATTGGAATCCAAACAGAATTCGCAATATTCTGGAATTGTATCTGACCGAGGGTAACATCTTATGGACAAAACTAATAAGCATTAAGCCTATGAAAACAAACGAGCAAAAGGTGGGACGAGCCAATAGCGGATGTTGTTGCTAAAGGTACAGACCTGTTATTGTAAGTCTCGTTGAAAACCAGCCCCACGTTGGGCGCCAAAAATTTTTGTAATCTCTCTTCTTATAGTAGCCCTAGCACTAGGTGGTAGGGGCGTCGGCTGTCGAGGCACTGTCGGTCGGGATTCACTGGTTCCGTGCTCTTTCGGTAACTTGGGGGGGGTTCGTTTGACCGCGTCTCGACTCCTACTACATAAACTTAATATAGAATCCCTTGACTCTAAATGGAGCTAAACTCCGAAAACAACACACTGCATAAACATACCCTGTCTACGAAACAAACCGGGAATGAGCAAAAGAAAGGCTTTTGTCGATTCGCTCCAAAAGAGGTATGCGCGAGGCCTTGAGGTGGTATTCGACCCGCACTACTCTTTACCCGCCCTTCCATGATTTCCGATATGCAATACTTTTCCGGAAATCCCGTTTTTTTGTTCACCCTATCTCATTATGTCCCCATGTCACCAGGAAATTAATATCTTAACCGTCCATATTCATATTCATAAATTTCAGGTTATATTTCTGCACTTAGGCAAAGGCATCCAACACAAAATGCAAGCGAAACTTAAAAGAACTAAAAAAAATATATACAGCCTAATTTAAGTAGTAGAAAAGAGGAGAAAAAAAAATTGCTTAAACCATAATAAAAATATAAGAATATATCATATAAAAATTATAAACATACCAAAAAAATCAACAATATATGTATAGCAGGATAGAAGTAGGTCGGTAAAATTAATTAGGAATATTCCATAATAATAAAAAAAATGTATAGAAAAATAATATAATTATTAAAACTACATCATGTTAAGGCATTGGGCAAATTATTTATCCGAACAAAGATAAACGAAAAGGTGATTGGAAGCCGCAATTAAAATTCAAAGGAAACTTTTTCTTTGTTGGCTAGTGTAGGTTTAATGCATTAGAAGAATGCAACCAATTCGAAAAACAAACAAACACGCAAAACGGAACTACCGACTAACCCTAACGGAAAGCTATGAGTAAAAAGCTTTACGCAGGCATAGCGGCAGCCGAATATCGTAAGCGCAAGCCCGTTTGGCTTAAGAGAATACCCGCACAAAAGGGAAATGGGAAATCGTGTCTTTCTTTGCTCTCACTTACGGCTTACAGTGGTCCCTCGCTGAAAGGCGCCTTTCGCTGAGATTTTCTGTGGAGGCTGTGGAAAAATTTTACGGTTTGCCCATGTCGGGTGGTTATGCACAAGGGGGGTATATAGATAGAAAGTTTTTCTTCTTTTTAACCAAAAACAAAAAAGTAAAATTTTGAAGATTAACAGCAGCGGGTTTTTGTTGTTTTTTTTTTTTTTGAGGGCTTACTGTACTTAAATAAATGCAAGAAAAGAAGTAAAGAGAGGTATAAAAGCTACACTAGACTACTCGAAATTTAATACGGCATCCTCAACGGCTTCATCTGCTCTTGGTGAGGGGGGTGGTGGGCTACTTCCAGCAGCTTGCTCGGGGCAGCGACGGCAACGCTTGGCGGCTGCGCAAAGGTTATGGCCGGTGCAGGTTATGTAACCTCCCAAGGAAAATTCGGCCGTTTCCAATCGGGGTGAAAATTTTATGGCCCACACCAAGGTACGGCGGCCTAGCCATAGATAGCGGCGTGACCTGGTGTGGGTACAAGACTGATGCGGGACAGGCTGTCAATCGCTTCCCAGGCACTAAGGCGACAAAAAAACAAAAAACTCTATGAACCTACTCTTTTTCTTTTCCTTATAGGGCTTTAACCGTACCGTTCTTGTCTGCTTTTGAACAGGAGAGGATCGTTGGTCGGGTCTTTTCCACCGACGTGGTGTGAGGCGTGGCTGTAGGCGTGGCAGCAGCGTGGCGGCAGCGTGGCCAAGGGATTTTTCTCCGAACTCTCACACTTTTTACTTGTTTTTAGGCTTCACTCACAGCACAGCACAGCACAGAATTTAAAAATGACAAAATGTTTTTTTTTCGTTTACTCCGGACAGTTATATAACTTTTTCGGACACGTGGTTAAAATCTAAGGGTTCTACGGAACGTTTTGCCTCTCGCACGGATCCAACGATTAGAATTTTCAAAAGAGCACGACCTGGCCTTTTGATCCGTTTAAATACGAGCTAAAGATCTAAACGGACTCCCGTGCTAAAGCTTCGCTTCGATGCGCTGCACTGCACTGGCTCAAGCTTAGCTCAGCTGTTCTAAGTCCAGAGCTTGCACGCACCCACCCGAAACTATGCTACAAACATAATTGGCATAAATAGGGAAATCAAGGTTATTGCATGCGAGAATTTTGAGCAACATAGCAATAAGCTTTTATGTGTTTTTGCTGCTCAACGGCGACCGTTACAGGCCACTAATATGTGTATTATGTAAACCATTATTAATGTTAATAATTGAAAATTTTGGGAAATATATTGCATTTTAATTGAAATATTTCCTGTAAAATTTTTGCCTAATATTTTCAATGCAATAAACGAATTTTTTAAGGCCTATTTTCAGCAAGTTTCCATTCGATACATTCTGTATCATTGCTAGCCTTTACTTATTCCCCTCACCCCACCACCCCTTTTTTTGGATTTATATTAATATTTTTTCATGCCAGATCCAATCTTCTGGCCAACTTTTGCATGCAGTTTCCTTTTTGAAGTTTATGGTCTAGCAGCAAGAACATTTTGCCGAGTTGCCAGAAAAAAAGAGGGTGTGGGGAGGAGAACTTGTACCTGTAACACACTCCTTTCGCCTGCCACTGCATTGCGGCAGGCAATATTAACTTCTGTTAGGCAGATTAAGCCCAGCCCAGGCCAGGCCACGGCCGGGACCATTGGCAATGGCATTGCATTTGGTGGCTTGTTTATGGTCTGCATTAGTCGTCGTGGCGAAGGACTCATGCGTATGCCCCAAACACGGCCAGCCAGCAACACTCAGCCATAGACACACAGACACACACACATACAGACAGGGGGGGAAGAGTGGAAAATGGCGCAGAAACTTTTATCGCAGGTGGCTGGTTGCCTGGTCTCCGCCTGTGGCACAGGCGTTTGGGGCCAAACGATTCCAGCGATTTCCTGCTCGGGATAGACAAACGCTGGCTGGCTGGCTGGCTGGGTGGCTGGTCGTCGGCATCGAAGTTTCGCAACTTGCAACCAAGTTGGCGATAATGTTTGACTATGTGCGCACATGCCACGCCTTCCCCTCTAGCACCTTGCCCATCCTGCACCTTTGGCTGGCGTTAAAATAAATTTAATTTTATCGCTACATAAATACAGACACAAACAGCGGCAGGGAGAGGGAGCAGAGCAGAGCAAAGCAGAAGAGCCTGAAGCTTGAAGTTGGAGTATTTGGAGTTTTGTTCAACGCCTCCGGGGGCCTTTGGAGCTGTGAAGTTTGGTTGTCTCGACACAATCCGAAAGTTGCCAAGTGACACTTCCGGCCTGCTGCAGGCAATAAATCCCTCGAGGCAGTCTTTCAAGTATTTTTGCCCACCCACAAATTAATTAGAGCGCGCCCAGAAATGATCATTTGAATGGGGAATGTGAATTGGTGGTGTGTGCATTTTTATGGCCACTCAAGCGAAAATATAAATAAATGTTATATTGATCTGTTTCCATTTTATGACCCGCCAGCCGGCCCCCCACCCCCGCAGCACATACCAACACACAAAATGGGCAATTTTCCATTTTGATATATATATTTTTTTTTTTGGTTTTTTTTTGCTCACTTCCTCAAAGATTTACGAGCAAAAAAAAACAGCAAAATGGCAACGAAAATTTTATATCATAAAACTTGGCCAAAAACAAAAGCCACTTGGCTTTTCATCGTGCGAATTTCTTTCTATAAAATAAAGAGAGGGAGGTAGGGTGGGGTGGTGGCGAGGGGTAGCGTACAGACTGTGTCTCAGTGTCACAGATGTGTGTGTGTGTGTGTGTGTATGTGTGTGGCAAGGAAATTTGCGGCTGGTGCTCGTCATATTGCGCATACGCCGCGTGTGCATACGTTATTTAAAATGCATATTATGACAGCCTTATGATGTGGCACTGCGACGGATGCACACACATACTATCACACACACACACACATATTCAGTGTAACAAAGCTCTTTCAATTAATGTTGCCAGCTAACAGGCCACAAAACTCCGTCCAAGGACAAGGCCTTCCCCTTAAGAGAGTCACGTTTCAGTCAGCTTGAAGAAGGTTTCAGTTTAGTTTTAGCCAACTTTTCACTCGATATTTGTTGGCCAACTTTGACTTGAGGGGCCAGCCATCGATATTTGAGGCAGCACCCAGCCCCAGCCACTGCCCCCTGCCTATGCCACTGCCACTGCCCCCTGCCTATGCCACTGCTGCTACTGCTGCCATAAACAATAAATCCAAAGTTAATGTACTGAAATAATAGAGTTTTTCTTGGCCCACTACTGCATGTTGCTTGCTTGCTTGCTTTAGTTCTTATCAAGTGTGTGTGTGTGTGTGTGTGTGCCTCGGACCATCTATTGTTAGTTTATTTTGTAGTGTGTTTTGTTATGTGAGGATTTACTGGCAACCTTTCGGAAATTATGTTTATGCAAATTTCAATAAAATGCCAAGCCAGTCAGCGC